CTAGTAGCCTCTAGGGCTATATTTAGATTTATGGTCTTTACTACTATGATACTTTTCTCTCCTTGCTAAGGTTACCACTATTTGGCTCTTCCTTGCCATGGTTTTTATTTCTTTATTGCCTACTTCATCAACTTGACATTAAAAATGTCTTTCTTCACTATGACCTTGAGGAAGAGATTTACATGGAACAACCTCTTGGATTTTTTGCTTAGGGGGAGTCTAATTTAGTGTGTAAACTAGGTTGAGCTCTTAATGATTTGTAGTAATCACCCTTGGCTTGGTTTGGTAAATTTAGTCACATTGTTCAACTTTTTGCCTAGAAACAGAGTGAGACAAATTATTCAATGTTTTACTGTCATACTTCCTCTGGAAATTGTGTTTATCTTATGGTTTATGTTAATGATATAGTTATTACATGCAATAATTCCACTAAGATTGCTCCATTGATAAAACACCTATTTGGTAACTTTCATACCAAAAATCTTGACTATTTGAAGTATTTTCTTGGAATTGAAGTGGTCCAATCAAAGGGAGATGTTATCATTTCACAAAGGAAATATGTCCTTGATATTTTAAAGGAGACAAGTTTGACAAATTGTAAGCCCATTGATAGTCTAATGGATCCTAATTAGAAATTAATGAATGACAAAGATTAAATTTTCTCAGACTGAGAGATATAAGAAATTGGTGGGAAAACTGATCTCTATCACTATTATAAGACCGTATCTTTTCTTATGCAACTGGAGTGATTAATGATTTCATGTCAAATCTTCGCATTGATCACAATAATCCTTTGATTCACATTCTTAGATATGTAAAAGAGGCTCTCAGGACAATGATTGTTGTATGAAGACTATGGAAATACTCAAATCTTAGGGCATTGTGAGCTAGATTTGGGTGGTTGTCTTATTAATAAGATATGTACAACAGGATATTGTCTATTTATTGGAAATTGGAAAGAATATGATTTCCTTCAAGAGTAAGAAACAAAGTGTTGTCTAATCAAAAGGCAAAAGCTGAATATAGATAGGTCTATGGCCCTAGGTATTTGTGAGCTTGTGTGAATTAAACAACTTCTTCAATAGTTGAAATTTTATGGAAATGGGCACATGAAGTTGGATTGTTATAATTAGACAGATCTTCATACTGCCTCTAATTTAGTATTTCATGAAAGAAAACATAGATAAATTTCTGTTTATATTATTGAGTTTGTCCAAGGATCTTGTTAATAAGATATGTACAACAGGATATTGTCTATTTATTGGAAATTGGAAAGAATATGATTTCCTTCAAGAGTAAGAAACAAAGTGTTGTCTAATCAAAAGGAAAAAGCTGAATATAGATAGGTCTATGGCCCTAGGTATTTGTGAGCTTGTGTGAATTAAACAACTTCTTCAATAGTTGAAATTTTATGGAAATGGGCACATGAAGTTGGATTGTTTTAATTAGACAGCTCTTCATACTGCCTCTAATTTAGTATTTCATGAAAGAAAACATAGATAAATTTCTGTTTATATTATTGAGTTTGTCCAAGGATCTTGTTATTGAGTTTGTCAACTATAATGAGCGACTTGCAAACATTTCAACTAAATTTCTAAGACCTATTATTCGGTTTAAATATTCCAAGTTGGTGAAGGGAAGTGTTAAATAACATTAAATATCTTCTTCCCTTTACTTTGTGTGCTACATGATGTGCTTAAGATGACAATGATGGATATATATTGTATGTTTGGTTGGTAAAGGCTTTTTTTAATGAAATAATCATTTTTGGCAATTCTTTGGGAAACTTTTAATTCCTAACCTTTTGGGGACAAATTGATTAATTCCAAACACACGTAACTGAAATATTCTTTTTCAGATGAAAAAGAAGGTGTTTCTGTTAGGCGTAGGGGGCGTCCACGGAAGAGGCAAAACATACCAGGAAAGAAGCTTTTTGATGAGCAGAGTTCAAGTGAAGAGGAGGATTCCATTAGTGCATATGAACAGGATGCTCAAGATGAAGGGAGAAGACAGGACGATGATGATGAAGATGCTCTATTGATAAATTCCATCAGATCATCATCGAAGCTAAGGTCACTGGGAGTTTCTAGGGAAGAAAGCAATGCTCAGACAAAGACAGGGAATTCTAGGAGAGCTACAGATAATTTATCTGCTTCGAGAACATCAGGTATATTGCATTAGCAAACCAAGATTAGGTATCTGTCTTGCTGCGAACTATGAATAGAAGATATTCATGCAGCATTTTAAAACAAATTTGCACTTCTTCGGAATTGAATTTTTCTTTTCCAGCCATGATAATTTGAGATATATCATTGAAGTGCTTGTTTGATAATTGATATTTTTTGCCGATTTAAAGTTAAATAGTCTTTGTACGGGGTATATGCTTATCTCATGCCACTACTGTTCTATCTGTTAATTTTTCAAATAAATTGTCTTGGAAACTTGGTAATGCTTGTTTTCTTGACCTTTTCTGATCGAGGTTGCAATTTCTTTTGGAGATTTTACAACCTCTGAGTTTCTTTCCCGAAACAAAAGATAACTGGTTGTAGCTGTTATCTTAATGCTGCTTTGCTTTTTATTTATTTATTCTGGTTAGTGTTGCCTCTTGTTAATATATATAGTGAAGGGTTTGGTTCCGAAAGATGTATAATTGTTTACATTTCCTACCCGATAGAAACACTAGTTGTGTATTTCTTCCTTAACTTGTGTCACTTTGTATTGTGCAGGGGCATCAAGCTAGTCTTCCACAGTTGTAATTTACGATTGTATTTTGGCAATTACTTTTGACTCACTAATTACTACACTTGGTAAGATTGGGAGTACTTGTTTGTAATTCAACTTGCTGAATGTATATATAAATGTATCATGTTCCAATCAAAGGTTGAAATAATTCAGTACAGTGACATGCCTCTTGACAGCCAATTTTAACTCAACAGTTGGCCTGGCATTATCTCGTCCCTTAAAATTTTCACTACGGTGGTTAACAAACGATGTTTGATTCTATGCTGATAATTATAATATACTTGAAAATTAAGTTCAATTTTTGGTTGCCCAGCGTAAAAACCCATCGTCAGTAAAATAGATCACAGAATTGAGTAAAAATGTTATTTCAAAATGTAATTAATTGATTTTATTAAAAAGTTTACGTAGGATAAATAGAATTTTTGGTGGTGTTTTTCAATTAATTTAAAAATGTTATTTTAATAATTCTGAAAAAATATAGGCACAACTTCTAACTTTTGTTTATTTTTTTAGTTACTAAACAAGCCAGCCATTTTGTATCAACAAAAAACACGAGATGACTACATGATTGAATTTATTGTGAATTAAAATAGTTTGAATTTTAAAATTTCTTGTTTGATCATCAAGCTAATTATATTTGTTTATTGTTTAGATTTACAGCTGGGAAATATTCATTAAATATTAAAAATGAATAAAACTTAACTCAACAAAAGTTGAAAGAGGAAAAAAAGCAATTAAGTAATAAACGTTTTCGTTATGTTCACTTTAACTTTCGTATTTTTTATTTAAATCATGTTTATGCATTTCAGGGCAAACTTTACTTTCTTTTCTTTAAATGTCAAACTAAAATTTCGATGAAATAGGTTCAACTTGTTTATATTCTTAATTTATGAAAGGAAAATATTCAAATATTTGAGATTATAAATGGTTGAGGATACGAGAAAGAGGGGCTCTAATGATCTTTCATTTGATTTTGGATTTCTCGAAAATTGTTTGTAAATTAAGTATATATATATATATATATATATATAAGAGTACAAATAGAAGTACAATTAGCCAATATCATAACAATACGGCAGAATTAAAAAAATTGACAAAAATGCTTAAAGAAAATGGAAAGGAGTGAGAGAAAAGTAAGATAAAACCATTGAGGAAAAATGGTGGGTTACTTGGATTTTCGTTATGAACATTTTTTATCAACGTAAGGCTGACACTAAGGTAGCGAGAGAAAGTTAGTACCACAGCCCAGGGTCCTGAACCAGGTTTTATAACGAGATCTTCTAACATCATAATATATGACAAGGATTATTTTAGGGAAAAAACTATATTATCCCTTGTTTGTTTTATTGTTCTTCATGGCATAATCCATTTTTCCCCATCCGATTAATGATAGGAACTTGAAAATTAAATCATTGCTAAGCTGAATTATACAATTAACGAAATTGTGGTACATTCTACGAAACTCAAATTTCATACTTTTTGTTACTTTAGTATTTCTTAGAAGAAACTTTACATAATCTATTATTGTAAACTTTAAGATATTATTGTATGAACTGTAACTCCAAATATTTGTGTCATCAAAATAGATTATATAATATTTGTATATAAATTTTATTTTTATATATGAAAATTACTTAAATATATTATATATAAATTAAAATAATAAAAATAGAATGACGAATTATTAATGAGTTTATCCAAATTGAATAACGGAATTTAGTATTAATTTTTGGACTTTTGTAAATGCTTGAAGGTAGGTTAAACTAAAGAGTGAACTTTTCGACAATTTATTATTTGGTTGAAAATTAAATGTATAAAATAAAATAAAAATAAGTACCTTTTAATAAAACTAATATCATCTTAAATTTGGGACATAGAAAATAATAATTTTTATTTTGAAAATAAAATAACATAAGTACCATATTTCTTAGTTAACCACAATAATTCTTGATTTTTAACGCCAAACATAGTATTTTTAAAGCCCAAAAAAAATCAATAACTAAATCATATACGTTTTTTTTAACAATTATTAATATTCCACAATTTGGAAATTCAACAAAATTATATTTAAGTGCACACCTTTCCATTTTTTTAATGGGAGTTTTTGATCATTAAGGTATGACATATAGCACTTGAGCCCATTAATAAAAAGCCCAATAAAAAGCCCGGATCTGCCCTACTGTAAAAGAAAATGTAGAGATAGCTCCTTCTACCCCAAGCCAAGCGCAGAGTGAGAGAGAAACCCTAGGAAAGCAACAATGCCGGCTGGTCACGGTTTGAGATCTCGCACTAGAGATTCCTTCTCTCGTCCCTTTAGGAAGAAGGGAACCATCGCCCTCACCACTTACCTCCGAACTTACCGCATCGGCGATTACGTGGACATCAAGGTTAACGGCGCCGTGCATAAGGGGATGCCTCACAAATTCTACCATGGCCGCACTGGTCGCGTCTGGAACGTCACCAAACGCGCCATTGGTGTCGAGGTTAACAAACAGGTATTACACTCTCACCTAAACCCTAAAATCATAGTTGATATTTTGCTTCTGGATCTGTTCAATTGTGTACTATTACTCTTATGTTGTATTATCGTTGTCTATGACAGCTCTATGCATTTGTTTGTTGATTTTTCTGTAGTTTATTTATGTTATCACATTGTTATTACTCTATTAATGTATTCTAATGGTGTTTTATTGATTCGGTTTCTTTCTAGGTAATTGATTTACTTTCGAGGGTTTTTATTCCAAACTCGTGTGTATGCCCTTTAAAATTGGTGATTTCCTGTTGAGTATATACTCTCTGTGTGTGATGTTCAGGTGGGAAACAGAATTATTAGAAAGAGGATTCATGTGCGTGTGGAGCACGTGATGCCTTCAAGGTGCACCGAGGAGTTCCGTTTGAGGAAGATCAAGAATGATGAACTCAAGGCGGAAGCTAAGGCGAAGGGTGAAAAAATAAGCACCAAGAGACAACCTGAGGGTCCTAAACCGGGTTTCATGGTGGAAGGAGCTACATTGGAGACTGTAACTCCCATCCCTTACGACGTGGTCAATGACCTTAAAGGGGGATATTAGTCTGTTTGTTGGTTTACCCATTGGTTTTAGTTTACCCTTTGTAATACTCTACTTATGAACAGTTTTGTTTGTTTAGTTCTCTACATACAACTATATGGTCGATTTTATTTGGTATTTAATATGATTTTTTTTCTATAGGGTGATTTGCGAATAATGTGTCTGATGGTTATGCATGTTTCCTGGATTGGCATATGTCCTTGGCAAGGTTATATTTGAATTGATAGTGTGCAGGATGTGTGAGTGTGGTTTTTGGAGTTGTTTTGCTTGCATGTTATATTCATTAAATTGATCCTGGATAGATAATGAAAGTGATTTGAATATAACTTGCGTATTGGGTAAATATCTCTGCCCTGATTTACATTGTTTTGGTTTTGTCCAAGCCTCTGGCAAAAAAATTTGGGCTCATAATTGTATTGAATTGTTTCAACATGTTATACTTAGGTAACTATATTTTTCATAATTAGGAAGTCAAGATGACAAGGATTGTTCTCTATAAACCTCGTAAACTGGTGTTTCAAATGTCACGTTATGTATCTTTGCTGATAATACTAACTGGTAAGTAGTTAAATTTGTCATTAAATTATATTTGTGATTTTTGAATGTGTTTGTTTAGCCAATACATTCGTGATCTCTGAATGTGTTTCATTGTTAAAATGTATTTAGTGGTCGCACGAAGAATAAGTTGATTAATGGAAGTGTAATTTTAATTATTGAAGAATTAATATAACTAATTCTATATTGCTTTTAAGAAGTAATAATATTGCTTTTCGAGTTTCACAACTAATTATTGATTAAATTCAAAGGACAGATAAAGTGGAGAGGAAAACATGTGGTCATTTGTGAAGCAGATTAGAGCTTCTCCTCATAATATTTTCCCTTTCATGTTAATTGTTTAGAATTAGACAAAATTTGATGTATAGATAATTTTTATCAATTTTTTATAATTTTTAAATAGTTTTATCTGTTAAATTTATAATAAAATATTTATTTTTTATTTTAAATCATTTTAGTTAACAACTTTCATTCACTATTGGTCAAGTAAAATTGTGGGACGAATGCAGACAGCGGCGAAACATGGGGTTGTTCCATTTTGACGTTTTTTCAACCTTCTTCGTCACTCCTCTGCAACAGTTGCCTGTTCTTATAGATCTTGTTTTTTGATTGAACTAAACAGGTGGAACAAATATCGAAGCAACACCTTGAGACAAATATTGTCTGGTCACACAAGTTGTTTTGTTTTCTTTGTGCTTTCTCCTTTTATTTAAATTCCTTTTCTTATTCTAATAGTGAAAGTTCATTGATCATCTAATTGGATTGGCCTCTGATTTTGGGGTGAAGATCCCAGAACATTGGTGCCACAAATTCGTCCTTTTTAGAAATTGTGAGTTGCATAAATGGCTTGAAGAGTGCTCTAAAGAACCATTCAAGGATTCTACTTGCTTATGCACATATTATTGTGAAGATCCAGATCCCCCTATTATTTATAATCTCATTTTCCTCTTCCACGTGCTTTTATGCTCCCCATACGCCTTGTGATTATTATAATATAATAATATACACTTGACGTGACAAATAACATCTTATAATGAGTATACTACAAATAATTCAACCCGAAATTATTTTTTCCTCAAAGTGTACACTACTACATGAGAGAACGAATCAGCGTTAATGCAGCAGACCAAACTTTATTTTTTCCTAGTTTTTAAATCAAAATTCTTAGGTTACATCATTAACTTTGTAAGTAAGTCCATTTTAATATATATTTAAATCCATTTATGATTATAGAAACTAAAACAGTACTTGAATATTAAAAAGAATCTTCTTTTTTATTCCTTCTGGTCTCAAAACCACTGGTCCACTGCTTAGCTAGGTGGTTGTTTTCAGTAATTTTAAAAATTGGTTTTGATAAAGTAGGAGATGATTTTAAACACCCATAGTTGCTCCAAATAAAATATGATCGTCTTCGAGGCCAAAGCCACGGAATAAGTTCGAATTGATTCCACTTATTTTATATTGCCTGAATCTGTCTTCTAATTTTATATTTCTCTGTCGCGAATACAAAAGTCTGAATTTTTGTGGCGTTGCACAGCAAGAATATTATTCGGGACCACTTTTCATGCAGATTGAAATTTACTTCTGATATTTTTTCTTTTATTATTCTGTCAATATAAATAATATTTTTTTATAACTTGTACAGCTAATAAAACGGATTTGGGAGACAATTATTATAGGATAATATTATTTATACAAAATAATATGATAATATATCAGTTAACTACAAAGTATTTAAATTGTTTGTCATATTATTCATCTTGTTAATGGATGAAAAACAAACATTTATATATTAGTATTACCTATTTATATTTATTATGAAATTTATCTCTCTCTCTCTCTCTCTCTCTCTCTCTCTCATATATATATATATATATATATATATATATATATATATATAATGTTTTTGTCAACCTTAATTAAAATTGAAAAATAAATAAAATGTTTTTAATTAAAACATTCAACCCATATAATGACATATTATTATTGATTATTTATATGTCTTGTACTTTTACTTTGCTAATATAAAAAAGTAAATAAAATTTATTTTGGTTTTTAAAGTTGTGACATGATTCTGACCATCACTCTACTTTTAGTTATTTTAAGGATAGAAGGTTTACAGGTGAGTTTCATTTTGTGTTATTTGTTGATTTCGCAATATATATTAAATAGCCTACATGTTTTTATTTTTTTATATGCCTATTTCAATGTAAATGGATTTTTTTTACCATTTTTATTGGTTCAGTACTAGTTGAGTCAATTCTTATATATTTTGTACTTAGTTTCCAAAGTTAGCATCAAAAAACACAATTAAATTCATCCATTAAGCTTAACTTTTTCATATTGATTTTCACATTAACATGACAATGGCTCAGATAACAACTAATAAAATAATAATTATTTGTATTTATCTTTAATTAATCTATTATTACATAAATTAATATATTATTCTTAGTATACAACTTAAATTCTATATTATAATTCATTTTTAAAAATATTTGTAGATTTTATTTTTCTATTAATTATAAATTGTATTGTTTCTTAAATATTTTTAAAAATATATAAATTATATATATTTTTTTAAATTATGATTTAAAAAAAAACACAGGTAAATGACTAATCCAAAGATGAGGATTTTATATACTTATTCAATCTCTTTTCTTTAATTCAATCAAACTCTTTTTTTATACTTTTTTAAAATATTAAACCTAAAAAATTTATGATTGATAAAATAATGAGTATTTAATTTTAAAAAGTATAATTCTTTAGAGAAATTTTCTTATTCATCAATCAAAATTATATTATTATTATATATAAAATAAAATCTTTAAAAAAATCCATTATTAGAAGGATAATATGAAAAATATAATCGATTTTTTTTATTTGGAGTTATTATCATCTACATAATCATAAATTATTATTATTATTATTTAATTTTGGCTTTTGGTGAATATTCTCCAAAAGCAAATAGGGACCACAACCTATATTCAAAAATAAATAACCCACACTTTGCTACATCATCCTCAACACCAGTCATACTTAATTTGTCTTAATTGAAAGTCCATTAATATAATTTTTGCAATATTCATATTCATGTTTCAAGTTACTAATTGAAATGTTTAGACTTATAAGTTAGTCATACAGTTTTTCATATCTAAATTTTTACATAAGATGCAATTAACGTTTAAAAAGGTAATACTCAAAAATTAATATTTATGATAAAAATAAATAAAAAATATTTTTTATACAAAAAAGTATTATTTTGTAATTTTAAAACATATTTAACCATGTTGTTTAACAATTAAAAATCCACAAAAATCTTTAAATTAATAATAACAACAGTAGTCACCAATGACTATCTTTTTTCCATTTTAATATATAATATATGTACTATTTAGTGTTTTTTTTTCATACTTTTTTTAAATTAAATATAAATTGATTTAATTTAATATACAATTATAAATAAATTTATTTTTGGTTGATCATTTTACATTTTTCATCATTAATAAATTGATATTTAAAAAAATATATAATACATTTTCTTAAAATAAGTAGTTAAAATTTGCATATTAAAATTTTCTCAGATAAAAAAATACATTATAAAAAAATTACATCACTATGATTATATAAATAATTATATAATATTATAATTAAAAAATACAATCTAAACTTAATGTTATATTTTGAATAAATATATAAATTAAATACATTTAAAATTATAAATACATTTTTTAATAAAACTAATCATATTGATAAATAATTTTAAATGTATTGTAATATGTTTATATATATAATTTTTTTATTATTAATTTTAAATGTATTGGCAATTTTAAAAAATATAATGAAATTTTGATTTTAATTAATTATATTTTTTAGAATGGTTTACATTTTTCTGAATTAATTTATTTTTAACACCTTATCAATACCATAGCAGTGCTGAAACTATAAATGGCTATTTCTATTTGTTCGTGTAATTACAATTATGTAAAAAACTTTATTATGCACATAATTTATGAGTACGGATTACTTTAACTAAGCTTAGCCTATTAAATTTAATATTAGAATATATTTTTCAAAACAAGCTATTATTTTATAATAATTCATACAATAATATTACATACAATTTATTATTTTTTATATAAATTAAAAATAATAATATATAAATTAATAAATGCATGTAAAAAAAGAAAAATAACTATAACAGAAAAACAAACTCAGTATCACATTCATAATATACCATAGATCTTCTTTCTATCTCCACACAGTCATAAGAATAAAAAAAAAAAAAAAAAAAAAATCAACGAGAAAGAAGGGGAAGTGATGACTTCCACTTTCCCAGCAAAACCCTAATATCTTCGATCCTCTATTATGTTCTGTTTCTTTCTCTAAAACCCAACCTTCTCGTTCAAGAACATCAAATCTCGATCCCTACCTCTTCCTGCAAGATCCGGTGGTGATTCCGATTGTGCAGAAGGGTTTGGTTCGGGGTGGGTCCGTCAAGGCTGGCGGGTATTCGGGTGAAGTAAATGGCGGATCCGGCCAGAATCCGGCTCCGCGAGAGGTGCGAACGTGGTGTTGCGGCGGCGGAGGCGTGGTTGATACGGTTACAGTGCAGTGACGATTGCCAAGAGTGAAGCATGCTGAGCGTGCTGCGTGTGCACCTCCCTTCTGATATTCCCATTGTAGGCTGTGAGCTTACGCCTTACGTGCTCCTACGCCGACCTGACAAGACCGTTACCACCGACGATGTCCCCGAAGGCGCCCCGTTAGACGGCCATTTCTTGCGCTACAAGTGGTTAGTTTTTGCTTTTATATAATTCCTTTTCCATTTTTTTTTGTTATCTGAATTCTCTCTTTTATTGTTATGTGAAACCGTTAGTTTTTATCTGTTACTTACGTGGTGTTTTCTGGTCTATCAGGTTTTAATTTGATACTCTTATTTGGTTGATATCCGCGTTTCAAATTGTGCATGCTTTGGAATTGTGTTATTAAATGCAAAACTGAAGTGTGTTTGCTCCTACATTTTTGTAGTTTAATGTGCATCGACCGAGTTTTTTTTTTTTTTCTTTCTTTCTTTCTTTCAATGTCTATTTGTATTTTCGATGTAAATGGTTTGACTTTGATTATTTAGTGTATATTTTGTGTTGGTTTGAAATTACAGACAATACGAATATCCACCAGGTTTGATTATAAGGGAATTGTTTATATAATCCTATTAATTTTGTGTATTTTGTTGTCTCCATGTTGCATTTTCACTGAAGGAGAACTTCGGATAAAAAAATAAAAAGGATGAAAGCTCTGCAACATGTCCTTAGTTGGTCTGAACCGAAGAAAAAGGTGTATAAAATTCTTAAAGAAAATGCAGTGTATTATTAGTGAAAGAAGTTCTTTTGATTCTTCATTGGTGTTCTTATGGTTTGTTTATTGTTTCATTTTGGCTCTAGTGTTTAGACAGTGATTTATGGCTTGTTTATTGTTTCATTTTGGTTATAGTCTTTAGTATTATCAGTATGCACAAGTGTTCATTCACATACTTGAAGTCTGCACTTTTAATGCTATGACATATTCCAACTTCTCAATAAATCACAAATCAATTAAGTTTTTATTCATAAGCGCCCAATGTAAGATATTGAATTTCTCCTCCATCACATTTTGTATGTGGTAAGAGGGATTTCATGAAGTGTAAGAGAGTCTAATGCATATAGGTTTAATCAATCTGTTAGGAATGGCATGTCATCTCTGTTGGTGTCTTATGCTGTTGCATAGACATCTCCTTATGTATCTGGTCCAGTTATAATGTTAGTCATGTGTCTATTTGGCATGATGTGTTGTAAGTTTTCACCTCTCTTTTGAAGTATGGATATTGATAGAACTATTGAATATTATGCTGTTATTGCCCTAGATTTGTTAGTGCTATTAAGTTGACTACTTAAATAGTTGTTTGTGATAATTTTGATTATAAAATTAGCAATTTGTTCCCAAATTACTACCTTCATGTAATTTTTCTACTGAGCTGATGCAGATCTAAGTATTGAACTTTTTGTATCTATCATTTGACTCGTGTTTGGTAATCTTTTGAAGGTACCGTGTACAGAGTGATAAAAAGGTTGCCGTTTGTAGTGTACATCCATCTGAGCAGGCCACACTGCAGTGCCTTGGTTGTCTAAAGGCTAAAATACCTGTTGCCAAAAGTTACCACTGCACTCCAAAGTGTTTTTCAGACGCATGGCAGCATCATCGTGTCTTACATGACCGTGCTGCAAGTGCAAGTAATGAAAATGGAAATGAGGAAGAAGAGTTATTTGGGCGATTTAATAATTCTGGATCAATCAATACCACCATATCTGCCTCTGCATCTAGTGCTAGCTTGACAAATGGGTCTGCACCTGTGTATCCAGCAGCCATTACACAACGAAGTGGTGGTGAAACTTGGTTTGAAGTAGGACGATTTAAGACGTATACTCCAACAGCTGATGACATTGGTCATGTCCTTAAATTTGAGTGTGCTGTAGTTGATGCAGAGACCAAACTTACTGTAGGGCATACTAGCACTCTACTAACTTCCCGCGTCATTCCTGCCCCTTCACCTAGCCCACGCCGACAAATATCTGTCGATGGGATGGGACATTTGGATGCTGATGGGCGTATGACATCTTCAGAATCTTTTACTGTTCTATCATACAACATATTGTCTGATGCATATGCCTCAAATGATCTATACAGTTACTGCCCTTCATGGGCTCTTTCCTGGCCATATCGCAGGCAAAATTTGTTACGAGAAATAGTTGGTTACCGTGCTGATATTATTTGTCTTCAGGAGGTACGCAAATATTCTTTGGCTATGATTTTATTGGTCAAGAAACTAATTCTATTAAGAATACTGATTTTCAACTCATTAATTTTCAAGTTTTATTTAGATAGTCAGTCATGTTCAGTATCAAATGTTTTATATATAAGGCTTTAATTATGGACTTGGGGACTCGACACAATGTTGCCACCTGGAGTTCATTCTAATATTATATTTTTTAAACTTTGAATTGCCACCAGTCAAAGAATAAGCTTTAAATGATCACGACATGCGTTTCCCTTCTTATACACTGGTGGATTGCAATTATTTCTGGTGTGTGTGTGGGGGGAGGCTTGGTTTCTGGAAGTGGTATGATGTTCAAGTGTACCTTAGGCAGCCTGACTTAGAAACTTAGATTGCATTACTTCTCTATTCATTCCCTAGTGACTATGTTTGACATTCTAATAATCTCTATTGGATGACATGCAATCTGTATTTTCCCAGGTTCAAAGTGATCACTATGAAGAATTTTTTTCTCCTGAACTGGACAAACATGGCTATTATGGTCTTTACAAAAGGAAAACAATTGAGGTAGTTAGCATATTCTGATTTATTATGGTTTGACTCAGGATTTTTTAAATTCCCTTTTGATGTTAAGCTGTTTATGGTGGGTTCGCAGGTATACAGTGGCAACATTAATACAATTGATGGGTGTGCAACATTTTTCCGTAGAGACAGGTTTTCACATGTGAAAAAATATGAGGTTGGAAATTTTATTATGTGTACAAGTGTAGGGCAGTTCTCTTTAGTTTGTACACAACATAAAGTGATGTCTGCTTGCTTGCAGGTTGAATTCAATAAGGCTGCACAGTCTTTAACAGATGCTGTGATTCCAACCACTCAGAAGAAAACTGCCTTGAATAGACTAGTTAAGGTAGCTTATTGCGCTAAAGATTGCCTGTAACTTAAGAATAATGATTCTCTTATTGTGAGGTAGTCCTTACCAAGTTCTTTACATTCTTAGGATAATGTTGCACTGATAGTCGTTTTAGAAGCAAAAGTTAACAATCAGCCTGTTGATAATCCTGGGAAAAGACAGCTTCTTTGTGTGGTAAGCTCTTATTTTTTTATTTTTTTTTTCAACCTAGATGGTCTTGCATGCTCTTACCGACAGTGTCCATTATGTGTACTTTATATCTATGTTGCATGCCTTGTACTTGCAATATCTGTTGAATGATAGGGCCTTCTCTAGCATCATGTTCATGTGCGCTCTCTTAGTTTTGCATTGTTATAACAAGTATCGTTTTGTTATATCTGTTTATGGCTTTTAATCTTAGGAGCTATTAGTTTATTATTTTTAGGATGGTGGTTATTCTGATTCAAGGACTCTGGATTTGCTTTTTACATAAATTACTAATTCTAAATGTCTCATGTAAGAAGGACTAAAGTAGATGTGTGGTTTCAGGTTTTTTTGGTTTTTATTTAAATCATTATTGGATCTATTTTTAACAAAGATATGAAATATTGCAACCCTCTCTGTCCCTTTTTTTGTAAGTGTAAGTTAAAATTACCTTTTTAGTAACACAATATCTAAGACTAACTCATATATTGCTTGGGATTTTAGGCAAATACGCATGTAAACGTTCACCAAGATTTAAAGGATGTCAAACTCTGGCAGGTAAGTGGTTTCTTTGCTTCATAATTGATAGGTGTGCTTATTTGGAACGTGACGCTTATGAATTTCCTCTTCTTTTTAGGTGCACACTCTTTTGAAAGGATTGGAGAAAATTGCTGCAAGTGCAGACATTCCAATGTTGGTTTGTGGGGACTTTAATTCAGTTCCAGGAAGGTCTGATTACTTTTTGGTTATATTGGATTTGTTTCTTCTGCAAGGCTATTTTATTAGTTTCAATAATTTGTTCTTAAAGTTATATTCTTATTTTTCTGTAGTGCTCCTCATGCACTTCTTGCAATGGGAAAGGTAGATCCATCACATCCTGATTTAGCAGTTGACCCACTTAATATATTGCGTCCTCACAGCAAGTTGGTGCACCAGTTGCCACTGGTAATGTGTTAACCTTTAAGGAATAGATTATATATTCTGTATTTTTCGCTTAATGGTTGTTACTGATTTTAGTTTTCCTTTTGTTTCTTTTTTTTGGTTGTGGATTACTCTCAATTTTAGGTCAGTGCTTATTCGTCCTTTGCAAGAACAGTTGGTCTTGGATTTGAGCAGCATAAACGGAGACTAGACAATACAACTAATGAACCTTTATTCACAAATGTAACCAGAGATTTTATTGGCTCTCTAGATTACATATTTTACACAGGTTTGATATCTTGCAATGTTAATTTGATCTTAACATCCTGGTCCCTTGTTTATGAAGTGATGCCTTTTGTGGTTTCAGCGGATTCATTGGTTGTGGAGTCATTGTTGGAGCTATTGGACGAGGAGAGTTTGCGGAAAGACACAGCGCTTCCTTCACCTGAATGGTCCTCTGATCATATAGCAATGTTAGCTGAGTTTCGATGCTGCAAGAATAGATCTAGGCGATGACTAAGGTACCATCACCTCTTCCCCTTATTGTATTATTATTTTATATTTTCTTGTTTTGTGCTTGATTCGTGTTAGTGGTTATCATTTTCTGGAAAGATCTATGACTTTGGCATTTGCATTTCTTTGTTACAAATTAAAGAACAGTGTAAGACTCGTATTTTCTATGATATCATTGAAATTCAAAATGTGTATTGTAAGGTCTATTTACATAATTGTGAATTGAAATATTAGTTTATTATTCTAATTTTGATTTCCTTCCTAATTCATAAACTTAAGCATAAAGCATGTTGCATCCTGAATTTACATTATTTATTTCATTATTCGCTTTTATAACAAAATTAAATTTATTTAAAATTAATTGATCTGAATTGCTTATATTTTATTTTTCTTTCAATTTCCATTCTCTTCTGGTGAACATAGCTTTTTTTAATAATTTAAATTCTATTAGCAATATATCATCTCTCGTCAAGAAGCTGGTCCCAAACACAGTTCGACTTCTATCATCTGTCTGTCTTTGTAAGAACCTTTCCATTATAGTCTACAGAGTGTATTATAATTAGTACTAGGCATATTTGCTGGTTATCTCCATGCACTAGGCATATCTGCGGTCTTCCACGAAGTACCAGACTCTTGATTACAAAGTAAGTCAAGAATGAGAATTACCTGACCACATTGAAGTGTTTTGTGTCATGATCTTACAAACATGTGAATAACCTTACAAACATCGAAGTGATTTTGGTATCATGACTCGTAGCATGGCATAAAATATGTTGGGTTTGGTTTCATAACATTTTTAGGAAAAAGTAGTTTCATATTAAGTGGTACAGGATCTGACATGAGTTAGCTTGGAAGGCATGAGCTGGCCTTACCGAATCATTTCATTGTGTATGAAATGTGTTATTATTCACCTATGGCTTGTTTACTATTGTTCTCGATAGTGAATAACTGTTAATATGGGCAATCCATAAATCCTTTATAGAAATATATCTAAAGTTACAACGGATAAGGTGGAAGTATAAAAAAATGCAGAAATATAATTACAATGGAAAAATAATGAAAACAATCATACAATTAATAAATGATAACAAGTCTAGAAAGTCAAATAACAATAAATTCAAAGCAAAACAAAACCAAGTTGAATAGCCTTCCTCAGCTGGCCATTGGGGCAGTTGGAAAATAGATATTTAGGTGTTTGGGCTATATATATTGGAGAATGAGTATTTGACTAGAAAAGGATATATTGACCTTGTTAAGTTAAATGTTTTAGATGGAAATGTTCACCATAATAAGAAGGATATGACCTTCCACTCGTCTTTGCCTGAGATTATTTACACCTGCTTAACTTGACCCTTTGCTGCATTACTGACTAACTGCTGGTTGTAGTTGTACAATAATTTTTTGTCTTCTTCCGTCTTTTGATACCGTATTGCTCCAGTAATGCAGTTGGAGTCGGTGTCTTTTTTAATGCCTAGACCTAAATGTGTTTGGTTCTTTATTGATGATTGTTTTCATTTTGTGTAGGTCGGATCCAGATACACGAAGGAAAGGGTTGAAGAAGCGTTTGATTGATAAGTTATTGTAAGAGTGGTAGATCATGCCTTTGTCTTTTTCCCAGGTATCTCCCATGTCGGGGGGTCCTTGAAATGATCTGCTTTGTATCATGCCACCTGTCTCATAGAAAAATTATGATAATGCCTTATTATTTTCGCCCATATCTTGCCCAATCTTTTACCTTATGAAGTAAAAATTTGCTTCGTACATTTCCATTGGTATAGACATGTAGCTCCATTCTCAAGCCCTTTCAATCACGTCGCAGATGAGTAGCGATAATCTTCACAGTTTAGGTTATTTTGTATCTGCAATGATCATCAGAAAGTTCACTAATTCAAAACCGGTATATTGATATTAAAAGGAAAGTAGTTATAAAGGAGATATTCTTGCGCGACAAGTAGAATACTAGACAGTGCTTCTAAAATATAATTTTACTGCTGAAGTGTAATTTTTTATCCTTTTGTTCAATCATAAGTTATTAATGGGTTTTTGGAATTGAAGAGAGAATTTGAAGGAGTGGAAAATGTAAGAGATTGGAAATTGGAATCTTTTAGATTAAAGAAGAGTTGAAATGAATGGAAAGATAAATAATGTTGTTTATTATTTTAATATATATATATATATATATATATATTTAATTATTTATTATTATAATAACATATATATATATATATATATATATTAATTAAAATATAATTATTTATATAGTACATAATGTAAATATTATATAATATTTATATATAATTGATTATATATTAGATTATAATTAATTATACCTAATTTTATAATTTTTTTACTTTTTTAAGAGACTTTTTTTTTCGATTTTCAAAATTTTATGCCTTGGAGTTGACATACGTAAAATTTATGTATTTTCATATCTGGTATGTTTCAATCGTTTGAAAACAAACATTGATTCTGTGAGCACATTCTGGAGTGAGACCATTGTCTATTGTAATTGGCATGCATATGTACATGTATATCCTAAAAATAATTAATTCTATAAAATTGAGTTAAGAGTGAATTTAGTAAAAGTTAAAGATAAAAAAAGGAAAAATAAGAAATTTAGAAAATGAAAATTCTCATATTTTCTAAAAAAAAGAAAAAAGAAAAAAAGAGATTTTAACTTAACATTGTTGATTATGTTTTATATATACTTTTTTAGTTTAATACTCGTTCATGATAAACTATAAAAGAATTTAGCATTTTATTTTTTTCACATCATATTTTCTCTAATAATAGAAAACCTTAATTTTTCACTGTTTTTTTTCATTTTTTATTTTTTTAATTTTATTTTCTACTGATTTTTAATTTTATTTTTCTACTGATTTTTTATTTTATTTTTCTTGAGAGTATAACAATTTGGTTTACCTTTGTATAATTGGTGTTTATAAAACTTTTCAAGTTTGCACACGAAATATGGTTTTTGTTGGGCGGGTTAGCCTAAGATTCTGGGCTGATGATTTTATTGGACAACCGGTCGGGCCCATTGGTTCACGGTGATGATGCCTGGGCACGAAGGAGGGGTTTGTGGAAGACTCTGTTGCATGTTCAAGGATGAACAAAAATGGCGTCATTCCGTGGATGAAACAGCAATGGCGGGGCATAGTGAAAGTGCGTTTGAAATGGGTGAAGAACCGAAGCCTCGACCACGTCATCGACAAGGAAACCGATCTCAAAGCGGCGTGCCTCCTCAAGGACGCCATCAACCGCTCCTCCACCGCCTTCCTCACGGCGAAATCTGTCGCTGACTGGCAAAAGCTCCTCGGTCTCACCGTTCCTGTCCTTCGCTTCCTCCGCCGGTACCCCACCCTCTTCCACGAGTTCCCCCACCCGCGCTGGCCCTCCCTTCCCTGCTTCCGCCTCACCGACACCGCTCTCTTCCTACACTCCCAGGAACTCGCACTCCACCAAACCCACCAAAACGACGCCATTGAACGTCTTTCCAAGCTCCTCATGATGACCCACTCACGCGCCCTCTCCATCCACTCTCTCCACGCGCTCAAGTGGGACTTTGGTTTACCCGACTCCTTCGACAAAACCCTCGTCTCCAACTTCCCTAACGACTTCCAATTCGTCAAGTCACCCAACGGCATCGTTTCACTCAAACTAGCACGATGGCCTGAGGAACTCGCTGTTTCCGCGCTGCAGAAGAGAAACGAGTGTGGGACCCACTACCGTGAATTCAAGCGGGGACAATCGGCGCTGGCTTTTCCGATGAAGTTTCCGAGGGGTTACGGCGCGCAGAGGAAGGTGAGGACGTGGATGGAGGAATTTCAGAAGCTGCCTTATGTTTCCCCCTATGCTGATTCCTCCAAGATTGATCCTAACAGCGATTTGATGGAGAAGCGCGTGGTTGGGGTTCTGCACGAGCTTTTGAGTTTGACTCTACACAAGAAAACCAAGAGGAACTACTTGAGGAGCTTGAGGGAAGAGTTGAATCTTCCGCACAAATTTACCCGGATTTTCACTAGGTATCCCGGCATCTTTTACCTCTCGTTGAAGTGTAAAACCACCACTATTACTCTCAGGGAAGGGTACCAGAGTGGGAAACTGGTGGACCCGCACCCTCTTATTCGACATAGAGATAAGTTCTACCGTGTCATGCAGACGGGGCTTCTCTATCGCGGGGATGGGTCATTGAAACACGAGGAGAACAATTCGTTGGTTGAAAATGATGAACTAAGAAGTGAGGAATCTGAGGAGGAAGGGATTGAAACGGGTGATGAATTGTGCGAGGGTGAAACTAGTGATGAACTCTGCTAGGGTGAATCGAGTGAATAAGGTTTTTTGGTGCAGAATTCTGTTTGTATGATACAAGCAACAGGGTATTCTCATCAAAGAGAATTTGTTTCCTCCCCTGGTTAGTAGCTCTAGTCTTTAGTAACTAGTAAATAGCTTGTTTGGTTGGTTCTCTTATTATGTATCACTGTGCAATGAAACTGTATTGACTCTAATATTTGTTTGATATCTCTTGCCCGTAACAGCCGAGCATCGTTGTGATTTACTATATTTACTTTCTTTTTAACTATTTTAACTCTTGCCCTCTGGATGTCCTATTCATCGTATACCCGAACCTTGTAAAATATTAGATATGAACTTAAAAGTTCAGTTGTGGAGTGGAAATCCCATTCTGCTTTCAAGCAATGTTTGCAGATGGGGCTATTTGCGGTATAAACTATAAAGATTAAGGGAAGTCACATGTGATTTGCAATTGCTTGTCTGTTTTAGGTGATAGATAATTAGATATACTTTTGACAAATTTTGAACTCTGATCTGTTGTGCTATTTCCTAGTGGTTCACATAACTGGGAAAAGGGAACAGAGTTCTTCTTTGAGGTAGAAACTTGCAGATATTAAGTAGCAACCAACTGAGGACATTATTAACCATGCCATACCACAAGCTTCCACATTCTCAGTTAATGACTACAAGATAATGGACATTTTGGTGGTATGGTTGCATCTCTTTGACAGTGTATAGAAGTTAAATTAATTGATTTACATTTCTGCTTCACTCGATCTGGTTTTGCTGTTATAGAATTTGTCTCTCTGTGTGCTTTATTTTTTTGAGAAATAAATCATGTCAGTATGATAGAGAAATACAGAAATTTTGTATTCAATTGCACAGAAGGATTGGAAACAACTAGGATCCATATTCCTTTATTGGTAACGCAAATAATATGCTTCATTTCGTTTGTAAATATTTCCTGGTGCAATGTTGGGGGGAAATGGTTAGTCTGCTGATGATTATTGCATGCATCATTAAAATAAATACTGATGGATATTTCTGTTTAATTGAATGTCTGCAGGAAATATGATAGGAGTCTAAAGATCATTTCAGGGCAACGATCATGATCTTCCTTGAGAAATTGTTTCAACAAAATGTTGTGTACCTGTGTGAGCGGCTTTAATCTATCTTGTTCGAGGCCAGATTGTTATTTAGTATGCTGGAGATCACTGAAACTACTCAAGCTCGGATGCTTCACAGACATGTTACGGTAATCTTTATTTTTTGCCACTTAGGCGATCTGTCAACCAGCACTCACGTTGTGATTTAAGTGGACAATTGAGTTGACAAATGACAGAAATTGTAGGATATTTTTTCTCTCATGGCAATTACGTTTGAATGACAGTTTTTCCAGTTTAAATTGATTCTGCGGCAATTTTGCCACACCCTCTATTTTATTATCAGTGATTTTAGTGCCTTATTTATCTTGTATCTTTCCATCATCATCAGAACAAGATAGTTGACCTAACTCCTACTTGGAGCCTTCTTTATTCTCAAAATTTTTTTTACCTTTTCATACCTCGTATGTGCAGTTTTGTAAAAGCTGAAAATCTTCTTTAAGGACAGCGAATTTAGAATCACTTGTAGTACTCTCTAATTTATGCAGGGTTTTTTTTTTCCTTAAAACCTTAACTTGATACAATTAATATCCCCATTACTTTATCTATACAAAAAATATTTATTTGATTAAATAAACTAAACAAGTATATAGATTAAATTCATCAAGTCATTTATGCCTTAAAAATATTTCTTTTGAATATATTCTATTTGTAAACGGTTAAAATAAAAAGGAAATTTAAGTGATTAAATGTAAAAGAAAATTAAGGTAAAACTAATATTTAAAAAACTGTCTCACTCTATAAAATGTCATGTTTTGTCATATAGTTTTTAATTAAAAAAAATTATTGACAAAAAATAAACAAATCCGAGCCAATTGAAAAATAATAAAACGGGAAGATACGATAAAATTAAATGTGTGTGGGCCTCATGTAATACAAAGTCAGCCCTTCTGCAGACTATAACTACCATTTTGGTTTCTAGTACAAACATATTTAATTCGTATATTCAGAAAAAAAGTCTGAATTATTGAATAAAATATAAGAAACTGTTTATAGTTAGATTCAATGAGAATAAAATTTCTAATCTGAAATTTAAGCTTCTCAAATTCCTAAATTTTTTCGATTTTATGTGATTATTTATTTTTTAAATAAGTATTATTGTTTTTTATCTGAATTTTTCGGATATTTAAATCGATCTATCAGTCGCTTTCGCATTCGATTTCCAAATAATAAGTGAAATCAATGCGCATTTGTCTCGAGTTATTGCCAATCGCATAATCCAAAATCTGTATTTGGTCAACAATTTTCATCTTCCATTTAGTGGGAACTTTCTGCCTCGCTAATCCTATCAAGTGAAGTTCAGAAGTTGGCCCATCAACAATCACAGGTCTACCAGTCCCACCATTTTTTTTTTATTCCATTCTCTTGAGTCTTGGCAACTGAAAGGTATGAACTACATTGCATTTTTATAAATCTGAAAAATAAATGCAACCGCATAACATTAGTGCGAGAGTTGAAGACACTTAAATCTTTGCCAAAAAATTAGGAACCAAAGGAAAGCATAGAAAGTGAAAATGGCACCGAACTACCAGAAAAGGAATTATTGAAAATGGTCGAGGATGTGGACACGTCAACTGCATTGCATTGTTGCCAATGCCATTGCCATTGCCTTCCTTAAAAGCTCCTTCTTCTCCTCAAGGTTACCAAATACACCACCCCACCACATTCTTACTTCATTTCCCACGCGCCTACCATACCATCTTTTTTTATTATTATCATCATCACATCACCGTATAACTATTTTAATATGGTTATGGTTAATACAAGTTATAACAATTGCAACCCCTCCTTCTACCTTATTTTTTCATTCCTTAACACTTAATAATTCAATAGTTCATTACAAACAATGTGATTTCCTCCGATTTAGCATTTCTCTATTCCCAACGTACCATTTGCACATTCCATCACTATTTTAAGAAAAGATGCACAGCACGTGACATGCACAACGTGCGTTTGGCCATTTAAAAATAAAAAAAATGATGGTGAATAACAAATAGTAGTGCTGTTTTTATTATTGAGTATTATTACGAGAAGAATGTGAGGAACGTGGATTTCCTCCAATGAAAAGTAAAAGAAACCATGGACCAAATGTGAGAATAACTCGTATAAAGCTGTTAACCAACACTGGTTCCACTATGAGTCAAAACCCTTTTCTAGAACCAGCCACTGAACCATATGATTTGTTCCATCAACACTGAGTACTTCTAATTTCTTTTCTTTCTCAATTTTCTCCTCATACTCTATGTGTGACAGGACCTAGGATCCTTAACATACACGATATGTCTGGACTGCCATGATCCTTAGCACTTTAAGGATATTTTTATAATTAACTTTTTTTTTTAATTCATTAAAATAGGAAGAAGTATTTGAGTGAGAAAGTAATTTTCATTTTTTTTTAAATGATCAGGATTTAAAAAAATATAATTATTATTAAAATAACAAAATAACTTTTTATATTTATATATTTTATTACTAAGGTTGGGTGGATGGTGTGTCACAGACACGCACTTGTGATGCGTGTGATTAGAACCTGATCCTGTTCTGTTCCTTTAAAGAAAGAGTGTGAATATGTTTATGTTTGTGTTTCCATACATTACAAACACACCCATTCCACAGACTCGGTTTCTGAGTGTGAGTGAGTGAGTGAGTGAGTGAGTGAGTAAGAGGGTGATCTGAGGAAGAAGATGGGTCGTCTTGCGACATTATCGGAAGAACCCATAAACGAGCAAGACAAGAGAAGCACCTCCGCGAAGAAATGGCGGAACTGGATCAAGACCCACTTCTTCCACAAGAAACCGGACCTCAAGATCCTACTCAGCGTCCTCGCTTGCCCTCTCTTCCCTGTTCCTCTCCACTCCCAACCCCCCCTCAACCAGCTCTCCTCCTCCGCTCAGTATATCATCGAACACTTCACCGCCGCCACCGGCTGCCGCAACCTCCACGCCACCGTCAGAAACGTCTTCGCCACCGGTAAAGTCGAAATGTGGGCCGTCGACGACGTCGGAAACACCGGGGTCTCCGAGAGAGGCTGCTTTGTCATATGGCAAATGCTCCCCGACAAGTGGCAGATTGAGCTCGTCGTCGCAAATCACAAGGTTGTCGCCGGCAGTGATGGCAACGTCGCTTGGCGCCACACCCCCTGGCTCGGTGCACATGCCGCCAAAGGTGGCGTCCGTCCCCTCCGACGCGCCGTTCAGGCAAGTTCAATCATTCATTTTTTAAGATTATATATGTCTTCAAGTTCTCTTAATTTAAAAAAAAAAAAAACAAGGGTTGAATATATATTATCAAAATGAATCTGACTCTGTGTCCTCTAAATTGCAAAAATAAAAAATATTAAAATTTGGAAAATTTGACTTTGATAGTTAAAATACTAAAGTTAATGGAATAAAAATAATTTTAACAAATTATTCATATATTTTTTTATAATTTAAAGAATCAAAATTAAATTTATCTTAAATGACTACAGATATTATTAAATCGAAATTTAAATATGGGTCATGCAAAAAGTTAAAGGAAACTTATAAACTTTGGTAATCTGAATTGTTTAATAATTTCTCCATGATCTCTTGTTTAATGAATTATGTGTTAATGATGTTGTTTCTAGGTAGCAGCAGTGTTAGTTTGTTTTGGGGTAAGCAAGATTTGCTGATATTTAATTCCGATAGTGTTGTTGGTCGTGTTTATCGGATCCAAGTTGGAATCTAGTGAGAGAGAATTTTAAATTATAGTGGCCCTTGATCGAGCCTTGACTATGAAATCCACTTTTGGAATGAGCAATGGCGGGTCAATGAGAGAAGGGTTAGTGAAATGAAATCTCTGATGTAACTGATGTGCACTCCTAATTAAATATAAGAGTTTGAATTTTCTTTAAAATTCATCAATGCTGGTTGCTGAGGGTTTTGGTTCATTTTAATTAATATTCGAACAATTTTCCACACATTACCGGCCAATATAATGGATCTTTGTTTTCCTACTAAATTCTCTTCATTTGTTGGATCTAACCACATTCCTCTGTTTCCTTTTCTTATTTATGGAGGGGCCTATGACCACGTGTGACTATTTTGGCATGACCTACTTATACAAGATTCTTTGATTAAAAAAATGAAAATCTTTAAAGATGAATGAGATCTTACTGCTCTAATCACTAGTATATTGTAAACATGTGGTTCATATAAGTTCAAAAATAATACTATTACGATAAACTCTATCAAACTTGGGAATGGGTGAAATGAGGTAATTGAATTTAATGTTACTGTCAAATTTCAAAGTATTTGTCTGGGGAAAAGTTGGCTTTGGGCCATATGGTACTCTCTCTAGTCTCTACCATGAAGAACTACGTGATGTGTAGAATAGCGATTTGACTTGATCAGCATCTATGGTGGTGCCTGTGCTGTTTGCCACTGAGTAGTGATGTGAGTGGCTGCGTGATTGTCACACCCTTAAACGACAATTTACATGTACGTGTTGTAGGGACTGGACCCTTTGGCAGTGTCTGCTGTATTCTGTGCTGCGCAATACATGGGAGAAAAACAAATCTCAGGCATGGATTGTTTTGTGCTAAAGCTGTCAGCAGATCAGAAGGACCTGGTTGACCGGAGTGACAACACTGCTGAGATGATCAAGCACGTTGCATTTGGTTACTTCAGCCAGAAAAATGGTCTCCTGGTGCACCTAGAGGACTCTTACCTCACCAGGATTCAATCCCCTGGGACACACCCCACCTATTGGGAGACCACAATGTCAACCAAAATTGATGATTATCGAATGGTGGATGGTGTGATGATTGCACATGCTGGCCATTCAACCGTGATCATCACAAGGTTTGGGGACAATCTGAAGACAGGCCCTGCAATCACACGGTTGGAAGAGTCATGGACCATTGACGATGTTGCATTCAACGTCCAAGGCCTGTCCATGGACTGTTTCATACCCCCCAATGAACTCCACAAAGACTACCCTCATGAAGATCTAGATTGGAGATCACCCTTGCATAGATGATCATCCCAAATCTTGGACTACTTTCTTGTACTTTTGCTAAATAACTTGTTTTTCATAATGCTAACTGTTACTTTAACATATAAATATATAAATATATATAGATATAGATTGCTTTGTAATTGTGCATTACTGATTTTGAGCATATATTACAGATTTCGACTATTAATTGTTTCTCTCTGCCATGTGCTTTGGGGAATCATAGATTTCTGTCGGTTATTAGTTGTCCATGGAATGTTACTTTTTTGGTTCCTTGTATTGAAATTGCCTGGATTTATGCCAGGTTTGTTGGCAACTTTTGGCTGCTTTAAACTATATATAAGGAAGTGTAAAAATTACGTTCTTATGCCAGTTGATTGTATGATATGTGTGCATGACCTTTTTCTTTTTCACTACTTCAAAAATTTCAAACGCTAGGACAGAAATGTTTACCTGTTATCGGTGTAGTCTTACTTGAATTTGTTTCATATATGGGTTACTCCTAGTTGCAGTTCATACATAGTTCAACACACACTGATTCCAATTTACCAGTCTTGCGTCATTAAGATGAACATATGTTTGAAACTTCTCAACCTCAAAACAAACACACCCTAAATATATTTTCTGTGTATTCTTCAAAGACCAACATCTTATAGGGAACTTAAAATAAAGCAACTAGCATGACATGTAAACAAACACGATTGTCTGGCAGTGCAAACCAGGTCAGTCAGTACAACAATTAATTGTGTCAGTAAATTATGCTAATGTGAGATTGGATTTTATTTCTACTATTACAAGGTAAAAGGTTGACTTTATTGTATACACCCACACGTGTAAACAAAAGTCAAACACGAATATCAATCCACACACCGCTCATAAAAATAGTTTTTTTTTTTTTTTAATTTTATTTCTATACGACAATTAAAAAATTGATATAGGTTAATTTACAATTGCTGCTTTTGTTTTGGGCTGAGAAGTTTCTGGACCACGATATTTTCTTTCTGCACCTTTTAAATCTATGTTAAATGATAAGAATCTCCTGTGTATTTTTAAATTCCGTGTGTATCTTCATAATAGTCTTGTGTCTCTTTTCTTCATTCAGTCTGCAGCACCATGATTGGGCATGTAGTGTGTGGAGATGTGAGAGAAGTAACGGAATAGAAATTGGAGAAGACCAAGAGAGCACAAGACATTGAGAGAAGTGATTGAACGGTAGGAAATTTACAGTGAATTCATGAGTAATTATATATATATATATATATATATATATATATATATAGAGATATAGAGAGAGAGAGAGAGAGAGAGAGAGAGAGATTATTTCACATCTACTCTTGTATAAAATTTTTAGAATGAGCTTTCTGAAAATTTCTTGAATTAACTTTTATAGAAATTTTCTAAAAATATTCTAGAATCAACTTTTTGAAAACGTTCCAAAATTAATTTTTCAAAAAAAAATTTGAATTGACCTTTTCGAAAACTTTTCAAAAGTATTTTGGAATCAATTTTTTAAAATATTGATTCCAGAACATTTGGAGTAAGCTTTCAAAAATATCAATATAAAAAAAATTTAAAATATACTTTTCAAAGTTTAATTATATTAAGATCAATATTAACATTTTTGATAAATAGGGGTGGTGGAAGAAAAACACCTTGCCTGAGTCATGAAGCCCATAATGGGTATGGGTATTTGGTTTTTAATAAATGTTATTGCCAAGATTATGGGTTTGTGTGTTAGTGTGGATCTTCCTTCCTACACTTTCGAATATCTTTCACTACCCCAAAAAGTATAAAATTATATAATTTCTCTTAAGTATATTTTGAACTTACTTGCACCAACAAAAAAAGTTATCCCTTTCTAAAAAAATCATTTCAAAATAACTTTTCACACTTTTTGGAATATTCAAATGAAAATCGTGACAAGACTCTCATACAATATATATATATATATATATATATATATATATATATATATATATATATATATATATATATATATAAAGATAAAATGGGTTTATGATAATAATTATTCCATTAAAGTGGGCATTGGCATATCTTCATTTTCCAAAATTGAAGTATATCATAATTAATATAAAATATTGAGATGTTTAAACCTTAATCCAAGATCAATATTATATTAGACAATTCATATAGATAAATGAGCAATAAAATAATATAAATAGTTAAAGTTTAAAGTATGTATTATTCATTTATTATTTTATTAATATCTCATCAATTTAAAAAGACAGAATAACTAAATTTTATTAGAAAATGCTCAATTTTACACTAACAAAATTAAAACAAACTTAAAATATAAAAATCTGTTTAAAAGTTTAGAATTTTTCGTGATATAGTATAAATGTGAGTAATAAATGGGATACAGATAAAGAAGTAGTTGGAAATTTAATATTAAATATAAAGCAATTATTTTTCTTTAGTGATGATCTAAAATAGACCCATTTACTAGCCTACCAATTTGAGTGTTTTTTGCAACAAAAAGAAAAAAAGCATATGTTTTTAAAAGAAATTTGCAACATGTGGTTGGATTTTGGGTCCCCTAACTATGACACATGAGGAAAACAACACAACGAGGAAACAACGCATCATGTGCTGTCTATGTAACTTTGTTTTCAATGCATTTATTGCGTCTCATGTAGTTATCAATCATAATCAACACTTTTCCCATTTTTTCTCTATTTTTACCAAAATGAAGTTAAACACCGCCAACTAATGTTTATTGGAAATTAATAATTAAAAATAATAAATTTTAAAAATATGAAGTTTTTGAAATAGGAAATAATTATTAACTACTAGTGGTAACATTTTCACTCATTTTTATATCAATGATTCCTAATTAAATAACTTGAGAAAATCATAAACACTATTATTCCCTCCATTTTTATTTTGTATATGGTTTTAAGTTTTCTCACATATATTAAATCTATTAAAATAATATTTTATATAAAAACTTAAATTAGTAAAAACATTTATTTAAGATTATATTGAAATAAAATTGTAATTATTGGATAAAAAAAGCAAAAATAGCAAACAATTTGAAAATTTATTAAACTAATATTAATTAAGAGAGAGAAATATAAGTGGACTACCATAATATATGGTCCACTCCTCAGGTTCCACTATAATGACCTAGGATGGAAGGTATATCTTATAAAGTTTTAAAAATTGTATATGGATCCTTTGTGCAAAATAGAAACAGATTTGTGTAATAAAACTAATTTTGATCCCTTTTTCTTCTTCCTCTTCTCCACATAATCGTCATCTCTTACAACCGGATTTAGTGTTGGACGCCATTTCAGGATAATAGAATAATGAAGACGAGAATAGCAGAAAGAAACAAAGCGTTTTGGATTTGTTGCGTTTTTCTCATCTTTCGTTTTAGGTAACCTCCAGATCTACAAGAAGGTGATGAGTCTAGATAAGTGTTGAGCAACGTTGCAGAATCACTAGGATGGCAAAACCGCCTGACCGTTCGCCCCTCGTAATATAGCTTGGGTGGTATTTTTTAGCTCATTAACCCGCTTTTTGGTAAGGTCAAATCTGTTAACAGTTGGGTTAACATCTGAGTGGATCGGGATCCGCTTAATTAATAAAAAAATAATTTTTATTATAATAAAATTAATTATAAAAATAATATATAAAGTTAGAAATTTAAAAAAAAACTAAAAAATATGACTCTCACGTCAAATATTCTCTATACTAATATATAGCTTTTTCTTTTATTTTCTTTATTTATTCTAAATACTAATTATTTTTATTTTTATAACTTAAATTAAAAGGATAAGAATTACTCAATCAAGAATAATTTAAAATTTTATTAAATAAAAAGGATATAGATATTTAAAAATTTTAATATAAAAATATAATATTTATAAGTTTTAAAGTTATATATATATATATATATATATTTATTATTATTTATTATTATGTAAATTTTATTATTATTCTAAATTATAATTTTTTAAATTGATTTATATTATTAAATTAAAATAATATATATATTAAATAATTAATAAATAAATAATAATTTTATTATTAAATTTATTAAAATAAAATATTTTAAAAAATTATTGTTTTTTTAAATTATGGCGACCTACCAACCCGACCGTTGGTTGCCATCCTAAGAATCACACATTATTGCAGTATTTTTTTCAAGAAAAAAAGTGAATTGTGGATAGGTCCGAAATCTCGATCTAATGGTAGGAAAAAAACTGCAATTTGGTGGAATGATATTAACCGTAGAAGGTAAAGAATCTTAGTCGTTCACTATTTTATTAATATATCTAACGCTACTTTTTCACTGCTTCAGCGCGGACGCATAACGCGTTGAAATTTGATGCTTTTTCCTGCCGACGGCAACACTGCTCTCCGCCACCCAAATTCCATCGAATCCGTGGACCACGGTTCAAAGAATATAAAATTCATGGCCCACAAAAATCTCCGATTATTCAAAGCAAAATAGAAAAAAAAAAAGAAAAAAAAACTCTTTTCAACACCTTTTTTATTTTGTAGAGGGGTAAAGAAATACATGAAGTTGAATTGTATGAGAATACCGTTCCTTCCAACTTCCACGGTCCAATCTTGATTCAGCCATTTCTTTTCCTTTGAGTCTCCTTTCTTCTTCCTTCTGGGTTCCTATCTTCTTCTCTTTCCCCAAACCGCAACCCAGAAAGAGGAGAGAGAAAATTAAGAAGGAGAATAATGGGGAGTGAGGGTGCAGCAGTGTGGCAGGGTGCGTTTTTAGGTGGAATACTTTTCTGGCTTGTTTCTGCTTCATACCTCGACGTTACTCGCAAGCTTAGATCTTTCTTTCAACCTTGGGTTTCTCATCATGTTGACACTCAAACCCCTATTATCCTCAAGATCCAGGTATCTCGCAAATTCCAACTCAATTGCCTTTAATTTAAACAAACAGTTTTTTATTCTCCCAAAGTTCTCAGCCTTTTGAACTTTTTGGTGTACGAGTTGAGTTTTTTCTTTCTGGGGTGCAGAGTTACGGGTTTGGGTTCTTGGATGCACTTTTCTCCGGGTTGTCTTGCGTTGTTTCGGTGCCCTTCTACACTGGTTTTCTCCCTCTGCTATTCTGGGTACGTACATGTTATGTTGGTGATGTCAGACACTTGAGAATTTGGTTTTGAAAAACTCCAATTTGTCTATTTAGAGTGGACATGGCAAATTGGCGAGGCAGATGACGTTGTTGATGGCGTTTTGTGATTATCTTGGTAACTGTATAAAGGTATCTGTTGTTTGTTCACTCGTATTTAATGATTTAGTTCAATATTGGATTCGGCCATTTGTTATATTAAATGCTTGTTGTATTTGTCACTCAACAGGATGTGATTTCAGCTCCAAGACCTGCTTCTCCACCTGTCAAGAGAGTAACTGCCACAAAAGATGAAGAAGAGAATGCGTTAGAATATGGATTGCCTTCTTCTCACACACTTAACACAGTTTGCTTATCTGGGTATTTTTTTTATTCTTTGTTTTTATTTGCTTTTATTTCTATGTCATCCTACTTAGCACCGTAACGGAAAAGGATTCTGAGGCATGTCTTTAGAGTGAGTTAGTGTTTGTTTCGTGTCATAAAGGTTCATAGTGTGTGGCAAGGTGGCTATTGAGGTGTGTTAGAAATGTAATCTGACCTTGGAACTGGTCAATGATCAGTTGGCATGCCTTATAACTCGATTAAGGTGGTTACACTTACCCTTCTTCCTATATATTTTCTGGTCCAAGGAAGGAAGGAAGGTAAAAATTAATTGAAAAAGTAAAGAGGTGGAAATGCATTTGCAAAGTCAGATTATCTGTTGAGAGAAATGAAACCTTTTCTTTCTTTTTGTTCTTGTCATTAATGCATTGGTTTCTTTGGAACGGATGTTTATCAGCTACCTTCTGCACTATGTCCTCACTCATACTCAAATTCAAGGTTCCTATGTTACTTACCTTGGAGTTTCTCTTGCCTTGATTCTGGTGTTTCTCATTGGTTTCGGTAGGTCTTCTATCACTTTATTTATAATTATTTGCAGCTTCCTCTTGTTGGTCTATTTCACCGCAAAACCATAATTTTCTTTGGTATTTTTGCAGGAAGAATTTATCTTGGCATGCATAGTGTGGTTGATGTTCTTGCTGGCCTTCTTATTGGATTTGTGGTCCTTGCATTTTGGCTTACTGTTCATGAACACATAGACAGTTTTGTAATCTCAGGACAAAATGGTATTCTTACTTCTAATCAATAAATTCAGCAGATGATAACTTCATCCTTCGTTATAATCACAGCACTCGCTGGTTTTCAGATTGTAGAAACTTGATTATGTTTTTTAGGTTATCATATTAACTATATATATATATATATATATACATACATATATACACACACACACACACACACACACACACACACACACACACACACACACACACACACACACATATATATATATATATATATATATATATGTATGTATATATTCTCTAGGTATTTAGGATTTCTCCTTATTTCTTATGCATTTTTTCTTATAAGATGATTCAAATTATTTATTTTTTATGTAGAGGTTTCTCTTTCCTCCCTTTATGATCATGACAAGCACTGCACTCTTTGAATTCTATCTCGAATTAATCTGTTTTTGTTGCAGTTACATCCTTTTGGGCTATCTTGAGCTTCCTCTTGCTTTTTGCTTATCCTACACCTGAACTTCCAACTCCAAGCTTTGAGTTTCACTCTGCATTCAATGGTGTTGCATTAGGAATTGTAAGCTCTTTTCTCACCCTTACTCGTCATCTAAATTTGTTTCATTTTTCTTCTTTCATTATGAATATACACAAAATTAAGTAATTTCTTCTTATTATAAGGATAAACTGTTCAACATAATTAGCGAAAACAGGATTCTGTAATACAACACTCAATTGAAGTCATAGACCTAAAGATGTACCTGTTTTAGTTATTTGTAATTGACCAGCTCTAGACAACTTTCAATATTAGCAGCAACACCCGAGAATTTAAAATCTGAGTGGGGCTATATTTGATTGACCTTGAATGGTGACTTCACTGAGTTGACTTAAACCAGCCACCTTAAAACATTGTTCCCCTTATTGCATGTAGTAGTAACGCTTAGGTGAAAATTCACAGTAGCTATAGAATAGAGTCATTTGCAGTTTGATTTGCTCTGAGATAACTGCCAAGTTGATCAGGTTCTTGACCTTGATCCAATTAGACACAAGACTTGACAAGTTTATTCAAGGAAAAAGAAGGAACCCTTCAACCATGTTTGAGTCAGCAGCTAGTTAGGAATTCAACCAGTTTTTAGATGGTGAAGGAAGGGGGGGAAGAATGGGGAACCAAAGAATTGTGGTTAATTGGCAAGAAACAATGTAGAGCTTAGGCTCTAGGGCTGGTGTGAGTTTGTAGTGGAGCTATTTGGGAAGTTAAAATCAAGTGCTCATCGTGTAGTGTCCGAATGTAATTGGACCTTTATGTGGTCAGTATACAGGCAATTGCCAAGAGCTGTCGGACCTAAAGTAATTTACTTTTTCAAAGCTCATATCACCTAAGGTCACACTTACAATCAAGGAGTGTTAGAGCAGATTCCACACCGCCAAAATCTAGTCATTAAAGACGTACCACATTAGATTAATAAGGTCCAAGACTATCGGGATTGGACAAGTGGCAAATTAACCCAATAAGAGGAATTTCTAGGATTAGGTTTAGACAGGTTTTTCAACTAATTAGAGACTAGTATAAGTTCCCAACACCTTTTAGCTAGAGCACATACTAATTAAAACAGCCAGTCAGTAACATTTAATTGTACAAATTTCATTTAAAAAATAAATATTTTCCTTAAATTGTTCTTTGAAACTTGACATCCAGTCTAGAATAAAAGAAGTTTAATAAAACCCTAATTAAGAGAAGGTCATTCTCATCAGATAAGATAAAAATAGTTGAGATTTGTTTATTTTTAAGTCCAACACGAGTTTTATGTTGGGTTATGTTAAAAGACTGAAGAAAGTATATATTATTCTGTTCGGATTATTTTAAAGGTTTGTCTAACTGATCCCCAAGTAAAAATTGGTTTAAACGATTTCATCTTCAATAACCAATACAATTTAGACATTTCTGTTATTCTGAATTTTATCAATAATGTAGTTACTATCGTATTTAATGCATTATTATTTTTCTCATGTCATTTGTGTGTAAACTAAAACTAACACATGTCATATATGTTCCTCTATCACATATTCTTTGTTATTTTTATTCTATTTTCTGCGGCTTATAAGTTTTATCCTTTCAAATCTTTTTTCATCACAAATGTTAATTAAAAGTATAAAAATTAAAAGGACAGCATTTTGGTTATTGCTCATGTCTACTTTATTACTTTAATAGATAAGGAGTAAAATTGAAAATTTTAATTAAAACTTATTAATATTTTAGTCATTTTAATTAATTAATTAGGACTACTATTTTAGTTGTTGAATCTGAACTTAGTAATTAATGTTTTAGCCACTAAGAATTTGATTTCTATTTCAACCAAATGGACTTTTATATAATAAATTCGAATAACCTTTTTGAATCAGAATATGCTTGAGTAAAACATATTTTGTTTCTTGAAATTGTCAGACGTATTTTTTTCTAAAGTTTATTTTATGTATTTCAATCACATTAAATAAATAAAATAACTTAACTAATTATTTTAAAAATTAAAACTTTTTGTTTAAATTGAATAAATATGATAACTTTTATAACTAATTTGAAAAAATACTGATATTTTAATAATTTTATATTTTATTACGTATATTATTCATTTTAGTATAATTTAATTTATTTTTAATTGATAATTATAATTTTATATTTTATTAAAGTAATAAAGAGTACGATATTAGTGAGTAATATAAAAGGTATGATAATGAAGATATATAACATTTGCGTCATTGTATCATGAAATGAAAGCTGGGATGTTTAATCCCATTTGTATTGAGGTTAGTTAGAATATTCCCTTTTTACAATTTAATAATTGACATGTATGTTTGTCCAGATTTTTCTTTCCTTGTTAAACTATCTAATTTTTCTTGCATAGTGTTGGAAATTTTAAATTGTGCATCACTGTAATTAGAAGTGGGGAAAAAGTTATCTGCTCGATCCTTTTTTCCGGCATCTGAAATGGATTAGGAACATTGTAGTTTCTGGTGGAGGACAATTAAATGTTCCATGAATTAACGTTAGAATGTTAATTAAAACATTTAGTGGACGAATAACCCATTAAACTATCACCCCTTGTAAGATAGTCTAAGTAGATATCACAACCTGGGTTATTTCTTGCAAAGGAAATGCTTGAATGTGTTGACACATTTGAAATTTGTTCTTGAAGAATTTGACAAACATTTTTTACCCATAAAGTTGCAACTATATTTGATCGTAGTTGTTAATATACTGTGGGCAATTCTCAACCAAATCTGCTGATCTGAGAGGGAGTCCTTGAAAAAAAGGAAGCATTTTGCACTTTGTACTGTATGTTTTAATGCAACGCTGGTGTTCTTCAGGTTGCCGGAGTACAGCAAACATACCATCAATTTCACCATGGCGACGTTCCTCGTTTGTTCTCTTCAGAACTGACTCTGCCTGTATTTGCGGGAAGGATGCTGGTTGGCATACCCACAATTCTAACTGTGAAATTCTGCAGCAAGGCTCTTGCAAAATGGACCATTCCTATGGTAGCAAACACCTTGGGCATCCCAATAAAATCAACCAGCTATATACCCACATTGAATGGATCTGCAATGGGGAAAAAGACTGATAAGCTTAAACAAGGTTACTTGCAAAAGCTCCTTTCTCGGCGCAAGGTATTCGATGTGGATACCGGAATTAGATTTCTTCAGTATACAGGCCTTGCCTGGTCTGTAGTTGACCTAGTGCCATCGCTTTTTTCATACATGAGTTTGTGATGGCGTGCGTTCAATTTTTTGTACAGCCAGAGATCTTGTCAAAATTATCTCTAGGAACATAAATGAACAGTAGTTTCCACTCGGTAAAATCTTAACGTGAGAATTCGTTCCAGTCCAAGCGAGTTACGAAAGTTATTTTTACAATCTTCGCGCAAGAATGTAAAATATCATCTTCACACATTACTTCGCCTTCAGATTACTTTTTCAGCAATTAGCCTAATGCTTATTTGTCGACCGTAGCAAGTAAATAAAAGACCTTGCTACTCTTATTTCATGTCCGGAACATTAGCTCTGAAATTGTAGTTTTTATTTATTTTTACTTTTAAACTTCCAAAAGCCCCGAATAACATCCACTGTTATATTTTACATAATCACTTTAATTTTAATTAATATCAGTATAAACGACAAACATCGAATGACGTACATAGAAAACAAGTTCATATTGGAGAGCAGAATTAACTTGAATGGAAGCTAAGAGTTGTACTTAACAACTAAAAATCACGTGAAATAAGGACGAGAAGATAAAAGATGGCAACCAGTGATAAGGAAAGGCTATCTTTAGATAAGCGTTAATAATAAGGAGAACATAAATAGGAACAAAACTGAATCACTATATCAAGCAACTTTAACTGAAAAATGATAGAACTTGGCAGAAACATCCACGAGACAAAGTCCAGTCATATAGCTTGTAAAGCCACACAAGGAAATTACTGAACATGAAAAAAAGAAAAAAATAAAGACGAGAAAAACAAACAAAAAATATCCACATTTTGCTGGAACAATATGAATTCTGACATAGTCATCATCTTGGCGACTTCTCCAGACAGTGAGTGTCCCAGCAAGTTCTCGAGTGTAACAGATCAGTGGAATGTTTACCTGCCTATTATACATCAAAGCAGTCTTTGGACAACCCCAAACGCACGGAACGTGTACATCCATAGATTTAAATGCTTACAGCAATCTCATGATGAGGATGCGCGCAACTACCTGAAATTAGTGCAGTAGAGGTAACCATGAAATAACGGTATGACATTCAACAGCTACATTATAAGAAGTAATCAGGCGTTCTACGAGTCACATCAGGTTCTCCTCTTCTAGGAGCAGGTTCAAACTGCAAGAAAGTCAGACAATCCAACGGTCAAGACTTGTTCACAATATTTCACCAAATAAATTATATTTAAATGACAGAAAAAGACCTGGATAAATGTGTGGCCCTTGCAGTCATCAACCTCCAATATGGAAGCCATGTTCCCACATCGGTAGCAGTAGTTAGGTGCACTAAAAATGGTAACCACCTTTTGTTCCTGTTCCAACAAAACAATACATATCTAAGATTTTACATCTATAATTCTTAAGCGAGCAAATGAAAGAGAATACATAAGAACGACAATTACATGAGCCCAGTTAAATCCATCCATGACCAGCTGATGAGCTCTAGCAATCAACTTAAGGCTGTTTGTGTGATTAAATTGTTCAGATATATCCTGAAGGAAATAATGACAATTGCAATCAAAATCAAAATAATCAACAATAATAAATCTCTCAATGCTTCAAAAAGACATTCAATAACGTAGAGTCAAGATATTAAAGCTATGTTTACCTGGCCAAAAGTATATCCAGCACCTCGAGGAGAAATTCCCCAGCCACATCTGTCATCTGGGTCAGACCACAATAGATCGCACATGGGGCCTTCGTGAGGAACTTCTTGAACACGATCAAAGTTCCTTATGTTATCAAGGGTCTCAATTGAAGGTGAAAGTCCACCATGCAAGCAGAATATTTCTGATTCAACCTAGAAGGGAATATATAAAATTAGCACCCGGATGGTCAAAAGCCTCTAGCTAAAATTTTAACCAAGAATTTCTAATCTTTAGCTAAAATAAAGTTGTTCAACAGACAATCTAACATTTTAGAGCGAGATAAAGACAAAGTATCTTAATTGAATTGGACACAAAAGGCAGAATACATGTTGAGTGAAATTACGAGATAAGCATGTCTAGTTTTGAAAATTAGAAAGATCATTTAAGGGAAGATGTTTTTAAAAGCACATATCTAGAAATATAATATTATCATATCCATACTTAAGCAAATTACATGTATTTGTTAAAACTTATCACTTTATATCATATCCCTTGAAAAGTGAAACATTTTAATTTCTCAATTGGATACAAAAATTTAGGATCGTGAAATAGGTACTAACCAACGCAGTCAATGGAAAAAAATCAAAAAGGTCTGTAAAGGTCTTCCAAACGTTAGCATTACCATACCTGCACATAAATAATAAAAAACAACTGTAATGAAAGTGAAATAATAAACAAGAAATCATATTGTTTAACACTAAAACCCAAATATCCTTATTTTGTTCACTCACTTTCAACTTAGACCAAAATTTTCACATTAAATATAATTATATAAATTTTATTTTTGGGATGAAAACAAGGCAGAATTACTTATTCATTACCTATGTTAACAAGAACAAAGGACTACAGGCATCATTATGATATTTTATACCAAACGGCCACCATCACATGACCAAAAAGTACAAAGCAACCAGGCGTCATACTGGCACACACCGAGGAATTTGTAAAACTGAAGATCTCGCTTAACAAAAAATTTACAGCTTAAAAATGTTACAACACCAAATCAACAGAAAGATTAAGATGCTCATCCCAGAATTACAGTTCAGCACATTAAACTAACAATAACTAGCTAAACAAGTTCTTAAAGTTGAAATACCAAAAGAGAATATTGTAGGGGAAAGGAAAAAGAATTTCTGTACATTTTGTATCAAAAATGAAATTTGAGTGATTCCTACACAAGCAAATCTTTTTCTAGATAGAAATATCTCATGTTTATCACTTTGTTCCATAGAACCTATAAATGAAGGTGTTGAAAAACTCACTTTCGAAGGCATTCATCATAAAATCCATATACTTGAGTAATCTGCATTATAAAATGATAAAAGAAACAATTAGCTCGACAGATAATGAACATCAAACACCCATACAAGTCTTCAATCACAGCCAAAAATGTTTAGAAACAACAATTAATCATCAATACAAATCCTCAAGACGAGCTAATTTCTGTGCCATTCACAAATAACTACGTTTTCAGAAAGTAATGTATAGTTATGAAAGAGTTAAAGCACAAACCTGACGGCTTTCATGGTTTCCTCTAAGAATAGTAATCCGCTGAGGATATCGTACTTTCAGTGCCACAAGGAGCTGGACAGAACAACTAATTAGAGTGTCTAACATACATTGTCAATAAAAAATTTAAGAAACAAAAATAAACACAATATAACTTTATCACTACACTCCACATCCCACCTTATAAGGCACATTATGTCATCTAAAGCTATCATAGCATAACTGCAATAAAATCTAGAGAAACTATTCAATCCTCTAAACAGGTGTGCATCTTTCTAATAACTGTAAAGAAATTTACTAAATATCAAGATTTAGAAAAATCTTAATTTCAACTCTCAACAAACCTCAAGCAGTAAAATTAAAAGATCAATCCTGAAACATCTCTAAGAAATTCAACTACACACGCTTACCTTTTTTCAAATTACTACAATGCCCAAAGTTGTATGTGAGACTACCCTATCTGTTATTCATAAGTTGAACAAACTAATCTTGAAAAATGATTGTAAGATAATGCAAACTTTTATATAATTTTGATGCATATGCAATCCACCTTTCATCTCAGTGGGGTTTCTTAATATTGACACGTTGATAAACATATGCTACTTAATTATCAGCTGCCTTTGCAGCATATTCTAAACCCTGAATTATCAGCTACTTGGGAATAGTTCTATTTCTATTTTCATCCTAATAGAATCAGACAGACAAAACAAAGCTCACACAGCTCTTACAAAACTTTATTAAATACCACTTGAGAACAATTTCCGACATGATCTGTTGATCACCCTAATGCATGAATATAAAAAAAACGCTATAAAGAGAAGACCTAAACAAAGCTCACACAGTTAATCCAAACATCATTGTATACCACTTGAGAACAATTTCCCAACCTAATGCATGAATATAAAAAAAGAACACAGATTTGGAGGCAGAGAGTGAACACCAAATTTTAAATAAAAATAACTATCCAAAAGTTAAGAAAAACAAATAAGTTTATATTGATTGTACTTACTGTTACAGTCTCAACTGAATAATAACCCCGGTCCACATAATCACCCATAAACAAGTAGTTAGTATCTGGACACTGTAAATAAAACAGGTATATTTAGAATCCATACCTAACTAATCAGCAAATATATTATATCCAGAGCTGACAAAAATATATCTTCACATAATGCATTTTCAAAAATTAAGATGTTGCGGAACTTATAACAAAGTATTGGGGTCACAGTGGAGTTCATTAGTAGATCCTGAATTTTACAATTTACTCTTCAATACCTCTGATGTGCTTCAATCTTCGAAAACTTTTCTTTGACAGGTCTCAATTAGTTTATTTAAGACATTCCCCGGCTGAAACAGCAGATCGAAAACAGAAACAAATCCATAGTCAGAAATTATACCTTCCCTCCAATTCGAAACAGTTCAGCAAGATCATGAAACTGCCCATGAATATCGCCACAAATTGTCACAGGGCTTTTAACAGGCTGTGATACAGGAGAGACACCCCAAAAAAACAATTAGTGTTCTCTCTCTATGAGACAAGAAACTAGCAATTAACAGATGCACAGTAATACAGTGATGTAAAACATTTATATAGCACAAGCAAATTAAGCATTTCCTTAAAGATTGAAGGAATTAGATCCTCCTCCAGTAAACAGGTATTAAAATAGAAAGGAAAGTGATATTTTGACAACCAATTTTTTCATATACATCCACTTGATAACCTTATTATAGTAACAATAATTTTATACTGTATTTTTATTATTAGAAGGGGTTGCGAAATAGATGATATGAAAAATTAGTTGTGAAAATATCATTACCCAGAAAGAAATGGCATTGGATAAATGAAACATT